TCTCCCGTATCAGATCTCTAGACATTAGTCTGGCGAATTAATTCGGCCATCCGCCCGACTGATTATATCAGTTACAAGAAGAAATGTATACATATATATATTTTACTGTTAAATTTAAAATTTCTTGAATCTAATGAATGAAGAAATGATTTATTTCAAGTTTTCCATTTTATATAATTTTTAATATTTTATATTTAAATAAAAGAATTGATTTTCTAAAAATTCTAATAAATATTTTAAATATATTGATTAAATAGAATAATAATATACATTTAAAAAAAAACAAGCTTAGGGAGACTCTATACAAAGATCGCTTCTGTAATGGTAGCAGCATTCCTTACTTACCTTACTTGTTTGCGTTCAGCTGTTTAGTGACCTATCTTCAGAATACTTACTCGTCGACCTTATCAATGGGTGTGGTATTAAGTTAAGGTCTGGGACGATGACGTCAGTTCGTCTACCTTCGGGCCAAAGGAAGTTTATAGTGTGCAGGAAACGACCTAGTGCCCCACAGGTTGCTACTTACGCATTATCGAATCGGGTTCGTTACGGCACAAAAACAAAGCCGTATTTTTAAAATTTTTAGGATTTTTGAATGAAAGTAAAATACTAAAATATTTAAAATACATATAAATATAATAAATTATTTATTTTCTTTCTCTTTTTTAATATAATGCAAAATAAAATTAACACACAAGAATGTAAGAAATTTGCTGGGATGATTTCTTATGTTTAAAATGCTAATTAGTTTTCATTAATAATGAATTGTGATGAAATGACAGTTTTTACATATTTAAATTTAAATTTTTGAAAGTTTTGTAAAGAAATTATGTGAAGTCCAAGATAGTTTAGTAAATTTTTCCAGAGTTTCTGAGGTCATCAAGTTACAAGTATGTCGCTGACCTCTTTATCAAGCATTCAAAAACTTTCAAGTGGAAAACTCCATTGAACTATTAATCTCGGGTATGAATGGATTTTTGATAATATTTCCTGCTTGTCTGCAGTCGTTTATCTTTTTATATTCTCAGGTGACAGAGCATGATGAGATCATCATGCTCCGTAACCATCTGAGAATACAAAGCTGTAAAATCACAAAGGCGATCATTCCATTTTGAATAAAATCTCCCAAAATGTGTAATCCTAATACACGTAGTATGAATAAACCTTTTCAAAAATATCAAAATGGTGGTTATCTATCTGGTTTACAATAGAGGTTGATGTTTAATTACAGTACAAAATATATATATTTTTTTCGTATTAACTATTTGAAATTCAATGTGAAGGTTGCGTGTTAGTCTGAATTAATCTATTAATGTAAATTGCTGGAGGAGAAAAAAAAAGTACTTATCAAACAGGACTTGATATACCCACTTGACTTTATCTCTTTTGTCAGAAACGTTTTGAGAATTTATATGAATTATATAATGTTTTTATTCTTTTTTAATTGTTCGTTCTAATCCATTAGATTTTGAATAGATCAGTTATATAATCAATAAATATAGATAAAGATATGTGGTTTTTATATCTGTTTAGAATTTAAAACATTGGTTTGTTTACCTATCAAATTTCAAATTTTATATCTATAGTAAATCTGATTTAAGTATTACACGTTTCAATGTACTGTTTTGCTTATCTTCGACAGAAAATAGCATTATGACAGCTTAAATATTTTTTTAAAAATCTTATTTTGAATAACGGTATCTATGGAAAAAACACGGTATATTTCTGTAAATCGATATGCATCCTAGCATAAAAAACCAAATTTTCTTGTCAAATTTAGTAGAAACAAGTTGTTATTATGTGTAAATGGATTCTGACTGTAGAATATCCGTCTTATTTTGTTATTTTTCGAATAATATTACAAAACATATCCAGTATTTTTATATTAAAGTACTGTATAATTTTACTAAATTTATATTAGATAGATATTATAATAAAATTCAGAACGTATACAAGATTTGTTTGGTAGATTTATTTTTAAAGTAGCAAGTGATTGTCCATTTTTTTAAACACCACTTCCATTTTTTTCCCTTCTTAATCACAGTAGCTAATGGAGATAAATCGATAAACTGGACCTTTTTTTTTTACAAAAGATTTTTACGATTTTTATTATTCAGTCGAAGAATTTATTCTATTGGGACTACGTGAATTTTTTTTATGATAAAGGAACGAATAAGACAAATGAAATTTCAAATGCATAAAAACTAAATTCAAAGGAAAAAAAAATATGCAATTACTGAAGTTAAAAAAAAATAAATGAGATTTTTACAATAAAAAGTTGGAAAATCATTGTATATTCAACTAAGATACGACTTCTTTATAAGATATTTAATACTGTATGCATTTAAAGTTGTTAATTTAATGTATAAAAATAACATATTAACCTCTAACGACGAAAAATTATATGTTTTTATACTTCAGGAACTAAAACTTTATCAAGAAAGATGAAGTCCAAATGAAATGTCTCCTTGTCACCCTATAAGAAATCTAAACCATAAATATCAGAAGATGTCAAGTTTCAAATAGTCAATGTTAAAATATTATCGATAAGAATATATAGTTCAGGCTACGAAATATTTCTTGAAAGAGATAGATTTATCACTTTGGAAACTTGTAGAAAACCAACTGAAGAGTTTGCAGAATATATTTCATGCATCAGTAACGTTACTTATCATCAATATCATATTTTTTACAGTCGAAAATGAAAAATAACTGCATGAACTAAAAGTAAACTTTACTACGATAAAAATGTTTGGAATAGTTTAACAATTATGTCTTATATTGTGTGTATAAGTATTTTTTTTNATGTATATTGTCTATATTTTATAAAATAAAACGTTATTTAATTAAATTTTATATGAATTTATAAGAATGTTTTAAGCTTTAACATCTTTACAATAATAAGTAAAATTTTCAAAAACATACTTTTTAAGTAGTAAAGTATACAGTATTTTGTATAAATGTTCTAAATCATCAAGTTTGCCTACTCTTAAAGGGTGGCCCACCACCTTATTTGCGCCCATGGGCCTCTGTTTGTTAAATCCAGTTATCGTGTTAATAAAAAACCACTTTATCATTGGATTATAATAGAGATTAAATTGCTTTTATAATAAATAGAAAAATAAATAAATTACTTATTAAGAAGTTTTGAATGTTGATATTATTTAGATTTAATACTTATGAATGAGTTTATTTGATAAAAGTCCATCCTTTATTGTTTTTAAATTAAAGTTTAACATTTTGTCTTGTGTACTAATTGTGTACTTAAGATCTTTATTATAATCAATCATGTGGAAAGTTTATATATAATTTGTTGAATAATCAAATAAAAATACATGTATAAAATGTTCTCCTTGTTAAATGTGATTATTATATCATTAATATTATAAAAATCGATATAGTTAATTAATAAAATTTTTCAAATTCAACCATATTTCTTTTCAAGGTAAATCTAAAAACTTGAGTAGATTATTCATAGAGATAAAGTAGTTAGGCCTAGATCAACACCTACCTTTTTCTATCTGTTTATAATTTCACATTTTAACAGGTATATTAAACATTTTAACCTGGTGACAACGACACTTCTTCATACAATAATACTCTTGCCAAGATAACAGCAACCACTCTTTTTCTGGTCGATCTAAAGCATTGTTGCCATGGTACTAACAAGCAACGACGGTAACTAGGTAACTAAACAGCCATCTGGTGTTGAAAATGATGAATTTAATTTCTAATTTTTTTTTTTTTTAATTTTTCTCTGCAGTAACTTAATATCAATTGTTAAGAAGAATTTTAAAAATTTGTCAAAAGAACGTTGGAGATTTTTTTCCTTCTAACAAGTTATATAACGTTTTGTTTTTTGTTTTTAATTTATTAATGCTTTAAAATTTTATTTGTAATTATGTGCATATTTTAATCTACTGGAAATTCTGTGGTGCTTTTCCTTTTAACGTTTATCNAAACTTCTGAGGATCGATACTTATCAATAACTGATAGCTATACTTCTGTACACATTTCGATTTTAAACCGCAGTTACCTAGTTTTTTACAAGATTCGCCTACGTTTCTGAAAGAAATTATTTACTTTATATATTTATATATATATATATATATATGCAACAAGTATTAAAAAAAAGTATATAAAAGAGAAAATTCAATTTACCTGCATGTCTCTAGATGGACTTTCTGAATGTAGTTTTCAGTTTGAACGATCAGGTACCATTTTCCTTTAACATCTTTGGATAAACTCGGTTTAATATATTTTGTATCCACTTCGCAAAGTTTTCCATTTTCACCAGAATATGAACTCCACGACCATGGATTATAATTCTTTCGTTCTTTAGTTCTTTTATTTATTAAATCTAGTTGATAATCGATCGTTTCGGGTGTTTTATCATCATTAGTTTCTGGAACCTCCACGTAAAGTTTAGTTAACAGATTCGAACATCGGCTAATAACATGCTCTATATCAACCCTATTATAGAATAAATTAAAAAAGCTATTTTTAAAATTATATTATTGACACAATTTTTTAATGTTATTGCTCTTGAAGCCTATATATATTTTTAGTTACAAAAAAAAAAAAATACTAATCTAACAAAATATATATTAGAAACTGCAACAAAAGACCAATAATTTTCGTTTATTGACCTACTTGATAAAAATCAAAAGCAATCAAAATGCATTTAATATAAGTAAAATTTACCTCGGTTTGAAGTAATTAATGACGATTTTTTTTTCTTTTTTCTTTGCTCTTCTCGCTGTCATTTCTCACTTCCTGGTCCATTTTACTTTGACAGTAACGGATATATCACATTTACATAACATATGACGAAATACAGTTACGAGTGGTAACACATGTTGATTTTCAAACAAGTGGAGGAATAAGTTCCGTTTGAAACCTTAAAAAAAATGCGCTCTAGATGATTAAGATGATTTTCTTCTTCATTTTTTCCATTCTAAAAACTTGTTTATCGCTTCTTCTTACGAAAAAAAATGGGGCAAATTCTATAAAATTGATCCTGTTCGACTGATTTTGTCTTCTCATTTATTATTTATTTTATTATTATTATTATTATTGCTAACAATCAAAAACATGAAATGACAAGTATTAATAAATCAAATTTGAGAAAGTAAAGAGATAAATCAATTTAAAATTTTTTTATTTAAGTAAATTTTATTGATTTATTACATTATATATTACTTTTTTTTTTAAATAAAAACTATAAAACATGATTTAATCTATTATTCATATAACAATGTATTATTGTTGGTTACAGTTTTTGTAACGTGTGTATTTATATAAAACTCTTATATTATTTATCTCAAACACACTCTCCTATGCTTAGAGATACGCATTATAAAATTTTTTTTATTAAATTACTTTACTGCTTTTATAGTCTCTAAAGAGTAGAATTACTCTTGTAAAGATTTTTATATTATACAATTATTAAAATTTTGAAAACATTAGGGGATAAAAAAAAAGAAACTAGAAATGCTTTAATCAATAAATAAGTTATAAAATACTTTATTTATTATTAAACAGCAATAGTTTATTTTAAAGCGTGTTGTTCAGATAATTACATTGTAACTTATATACAAAAAAAAATAATTATATTATATTTATGATATAAATATTAAAAGATGAGTTATAATGTAAAATTGTTTAACAAAACTCCTTTTTTTTTAATTTAAAAATAAGCAGCAAGCTCTTTCTTTGATCAATCTGTTACACGCTAAAAAAAAAATATATATATATATATACTCTGTATGTGAATAACTTTTCTTTCAAAATAATCTCTTGGGTATGATATACGAAAGATAATACTTTTTCAACATAAAATTTTACTTCCTCGTAAAATGTTTTAATATGTAAATAGTTTTTTTGTGACTATCAATGCGGGTAATATACTAATACGAAAAAAAATGCGATGTGAATTATAATATAACAGAATCTATGTAGTATAAATAAAAAAATAATTTTAAATAAACTATATATATATTTTATTACCAATCCTAAGAGTTCGAAATATGCAAAATAAACTAAGATATTTATTTTTTATGAATAAACCGCACTCAAACTGACGAGAGAGTAATACAAAAATCGATCGATTCAACGCACTTTTTTTTTACATTTTGCATAAAAAATGATGTGGTTTCTAAAGTGTTGGTTTTTTTTATACTCAATCCATATCATTCTAACGTTTGATCTATACTAAAATAGATTTAGTATATATTAAGTCTCGTTGGCGTGACAAACGCATAAACTTGGAAATCGATATAAACCCATGAAAGGACAATCTGAAAACTTCTGAGGATCGATACTTATCAATAACTGATAGCTATACTTCTGTACACATTTCGATTTTAAACCGCAGTTACCTAGTTTTTTACAAGATTCGCCTACGTTTCTGAAAGAAATTATTTACTTTATATATTTATATATATATATATATATATGCAACAAGTATTAAAAAAAAGTATATAAAAGAGAAAATTCAATTTACCTGCATGTCTCTAGATGGACTTTCTGAATGTAGTTTTCAGTTTGAACGATCAGGTACCATTTTCCTTTAACATCTTTGGATAAACTCGGTTTAATATATTTTGTATCCACTTCGCAAAGTTTTCCATTTTCACCAGAATATGAACTCCACGACCATGGATTATAATTCTTTCGTTCTTTAGTTCTTTTATTTATTAAATCTAGTTGATAATCGATCGTTTCGGGTGTTTTATCATCATTAGTTTCTGGAACCTCCACGTAAAGTTTAGTTAACAGATTCGAACATCGGCTAATAACATGCTCTATATCAACCCTATTATAGAATAAATTAAAAAAGCTATTTTTAAAATTATATTATTGACACAATTTTTTAATGTTATTGCTCTTGAAGCCTATATATATTTTTAGTTACAAAAAAAAAAAAATACTAATCTAACAAAATATATATTAGAAACTGCAACAAAAGACCAATAATTTTCGTTTATTGACCTACTTGATAAAAATCAAAAGCAATCAAAATGCATTTAATATAAGTAAAATTTACCTCGGTTTATTCTAGTTTTATATATTAGAAACAAAGTATCGTTTTCTTTTTATTACTTTTTTTTAATCCATTGAACCACTCTTGTTCTCATAAATTAATCCTTTTAATTTATTAGTAAGCAATAAAACGTGTTAAATTAATGTTTTCAGCAATTTAGATAATCATTTACACAGATATTACATTACTTTTTATTACATAATTATATAATTTTAAACTGATTAAAGGGAGACTTTATAATTAAATAAAATACTATATTTTGTAGAAGAAAAATTAAATCAGAGATACCTTGGATAATTTTCTCCAAGTTCGCACCATCCTAAATCTTCTTTTCCATCACAGTCTAATTCAAAAGTCTTATTAAAATCAGATAAAGTCGTTACAATATCCGCTTGATTGGACGTAATGTAAGATTGACTAGGTGCAACGTAGGGTTCACTAGGTGTGACGTAGGGTTGACTAGGTGCGACGTAAGGTTTTGGAGGATTTATAATTCTTTTCGAATGTACTAAAGTGTCATTACGATGTGTCGAGTTAATAGTGGATACGAAATTCGACACGCGAATCGAAGTGAGTGGTACGAAACCAAATTCAAATTTAGGATTCTTGAGATTAGCAGGAAGGCCGTTAAGGTTCGGAAGTTGTTCGTCGTTAACATAAATGTCTTTCTGGACGGGATAATATTCAACCGGTCTTTGTTGATTAGGTCTGCGATGGTTCCTATCGATATGGCGAGATACTATAGGATATTCTGTTACATCTAAGTCTAGATGAGAATTTATATTCCTTGCAGGTATTCTTCTGTGTGCCGTTTCCAAATTTGGAGAAACAATTGACCCATGTAATGAATTAGATGAAGTATATATTACTGGGTTTCTTTGATTAGCGGTGATTAAACGAACGTGTGATAAGGGTGGTGGTAAAACAACTGGTTGTGGTACTGATATACCTTTGGCTTCGATTATTAATAAGATTATCAAGTAAAACATCTTAGCCTGAAATTTAATGTAAATTTTTTTTAGATTTAAATAAAATAGATCATAATTAAATGTTTCTTCCTCGTAAAATGTTTTAATATGTAAATAGTTTTTTTGTGACTATCAATGCGGGTAATATACTAATACGAAAAAAAATGCGATGTGAATTATAATATAACAGAATCTATGTAGTATAAATAAAAAAATAATTTTAAATAAACTATATATATATTTTATTACCAATCCTAAGAGTTCGAAATATGCAAAATAAACTAAGATATTTATTTTTTATGAATAAACCGCACTCAAACTGACGAGAGAGTAATACAAAAATCGATCGATTCAACGCACTTTTTTTTTACATTTTGCATAAAAAATGATGTGGTTTCTAAAGTGTTGGTTTTTTTTATACTCAATCCATATCATTCTAACGTTTGATCTATACTAAAATAGATTTAGTATATATTAAGTCTCGTTGGCGTGACAAACGCATAAACTTGGAAATCGATATAAACCCATGAAAGGACAATCTGAAAACTTCTGAGGATCGATACTTATCAATAACTGATAGCTATACTTCTGTACACATTTCGATTTTAAACCGCAGTTACCTAGTTTTTTACAAGATTCGCCTACGTTTCTGAAAGAAATTATTTACTTTATATATTTATATATATATATATATATATGCAACAAGTATTAAAAAAAAGTATATAAAAGAGAAAATTCAATTTACCTGCATGTCTCTAGATGGACTTTCTGAATGTAGTTTTCAGTTTGAACGATCAGGTACCATTTTCCTTTAACATCTTTGGATAAACTCGGTTTAATATATTTTGTATCCACTTCGCAAAGTTTTCCATTTTCACCAGAATATGAACTCCACGACCATGGATTATAATTCTTTCGTTCTTTAGTTCTTTTATTTATTAAATCTAGTTGATAATCGATCGTTTCGGGTGTTTTATCATCATTAGTTTCTGGAACCTCCACGTAAAGTTTAGTTAACAGATTCGAACATCGGCTAATAACATGCTCTATATCAACCCTATTATAGAATAAATTAAAAAAGCTATTTTTAAAATTATATTATTGACACAATTTTTTAATGTTATTGCTCTTGAAGCCTATATATATTTTTAGTTACAAAAAAAAAAAAATACTAATCTAACAAAATATATATTAGAAACTGCAACAAAAGACCAATAATTTTCGTTTATTGACCTACTTGATAAAAATCAAAAGCAATCAAAATGCATTTAATATAAGTAAAATTTACCTCGGTTTATTCTAGTTTTATATATTAGAAACAAAGTATCGTTTTCTTTTTATTACTTTTTTTTAATCCATTGAACCACTCTTGTTCTCATAAATTAATCCTTTTAATTTATTAGTAAGCAATAAAACGTGTTAAATTAATGTTTTCAGCAATTTAGATAATCATTTACACAGATATTACATTACTTTTTATTACATAATTATATAATTTTAAACTGATTAAAGGGAGACTTTATAATTAAATAAAATACTATATTTTGTAGAAGAAAAATTAAATCAGAGATACCTTGGATAATTTTCTCCAAGTTCGCACCATCCTAAATCTTCTTTTCCATCACAGTCTAATTCAAAAGTCTTATTAAAATCAGATAAAGTCGTTACAATATCCGCTTGATTGGACGTAATGTAAGATTGACTAGGTGCAACGTAGGGTTCACTAGGTGTGACGTAGGGTTGACTAGGTGCGACGTAAGGTTTTGGAGGATTTATAATTCTTTTCGAATGTACTAAAGTGTCATTACGATGTGTCGAGTTAATAGTGGATACGAAATTCGACACGCGAATCGAAGTGAGTGGTACGAAACCAAATTCAAATTTAGGATTCTTGAGATTAGCAGGAAGGCCGTTAAGGTTCGGAAGTTGTTCGTCGTTAACATAAATGTCTTTCTGGACGGGATAATATTCAACCGGTCTTTGTTGATTAGGTCTGCGATGGTTCCTATCGATATGGCGAGATACTATAGGATATTCTGTTACATCTAAGTCTAGATGAGAATTTATATTCCTTGCAGGTATTCTTCTGTGTGCCGTTTCCAAATTTGGAGAAACAATTGACCCATGTAATGAATTAGATGAAGTATATATTACTGGGTTTCTTTGATTAGCGGTGATTAAACGAACGTGTGATAAGGGTGGTGGTAAAACAACTGGTTGTGGTACTGATATACCTTTGGCTTCGATTATTAATAAGATTATCAAGTAAAACATCTTAGCCTGAAATTTAATGTAAATTTTTTTTAGATTTAAATAAAATAGATCATAATTAAATGTTTCAGATTATAAAACTAATTAAACTTAATTAACCTATATCGATTACAAATTAAACAAGATAACTGATTGATTTTTCTAGCCTTGTAGTATAGTTTATAAATAAAATATAGAAAATAACATACTTATGTAATTTTATTTTTAAATTATTATTTATGTATAGAACGATTTTAGTTTGACACATTTTCATT